TTATATGGCATTTAAAAAACATTCATTGAAATAATCTGTTGCCTTGACGCTCCTATTCATGGTATTCCTGTGATTAGCGGCAATGTATTCTTCTCTTACTGCCTAAAATGTATTTCTGACCCCCAAATCAGTAATCTTGGTGCTTTTTTGGTCATTGTCAGACATGCGCAGAGGTTAAACAATTTGATTTGATATTTCTAATTTTCAAGTTCCCAGCTGAGATTGAACAAGGTATTGATTTGCCTTCTTGTTTCAGGTCTTATACTGTGAACACAGTCTTTTTTTATTTTTTCAAGTTTGAAAATGAAGTTTATTGAGGAAAGAATGGTAGGATTATAGTGCAAGGGCAAGATATAGGTTTATAGAGCATGATACATACGCCAGACATTTTGACCAGACCAATTATTGCTGCTAAGTAAGAGCAAAAGGAAAGGGCCAAAAAGGCCAGGTGTCCTTTTTGTGGTATATTTATTGTCATGTTGTTAACATTTTTGAGTTTGTTTTTATTTTGGTGGTTTCATTATTTAAAATGGCCGCTAAGCTTAGTGCTGAAGTGCTGTATATTGCTCTTAAGTGCAAAAAAATCTGTGTCTGATTTGCCTAACATAGAAGATATTCGTGTTAAATAAAGGTATGAGTTCAGGCATGAGTTTTTGCCATTGATCATTACTTCAATGATAATGAATCAACAATATATATTAAATAAGTTATCTAATTATTAAATGAATTCAACAAAATCTCAGGATCCAAAATTAATGCACACAAATCAGTAGGTTTCATATATGCCAATAACAGTCAAGCCAAGAATCAAATTGAACATGAAATAACTTTCATAATACTGTGAAAGAATATAAAATATTTAGGAATATATTTAACTAAGGAGGTGAGAGACCTATATAGGGAGAACTACAAAACAGTGAGAAAAGACATTGCAGAGAATGTAAACAGATGGAAAGCCATATGATGCTCATGTATCGCAGAATTAACATTATTAAAGTGTGTGTACTACCCAAAGTGATCTATAGATTCAATGCAATCCCTATTAAAATACCAACATGATTTTTCACAGATCTTCAAAAAATAATTTTCTGCTTTGTATGGAACCAGAGAAGACCCTTTATAGCCAAAGCAACCTTAAAGTAAACCTTATAGCAAAAAGAACAAATTGAGAGGCATCAGTCTACTAGGTTTCAAGCTATACTACAAGGCTATAGTAACCAAAACAGCATTTCACTGGCACAAAGAACAGAGCCATAGACCCATGGGACAGGATGGAGAATCCAGATATAAAACTATCCTAATATTGCCATCTAATCTTTTACAAAGCAGAAGAAAACATACACTGGGGTAAAGAATACCTATTCAATAAATGGTGCTGGGAAAATTGGATAGCCACATGTAAAAGACTGAAACAGGATCTGCACCTCTCACCACTCCCAAAAAATCAACTCATGATGGATAACAGACTTAAACCTAAGAAGAGAAACCATAGGGATTCTAGAAAATGTTGGAAAAACTCTTATCGACATTGGCCTATCCAAAGAATTTTTGAAGAAGACCCCGGAAGCAATCACAGCGACAATAACAATAAATAAATGGGACCTGATCAAATTAAAAAGCTTCTTCAAAGTCAAAGAAACTATCATTAGAGTGAACAGACAATCTATAGAATGGGAGAAAATGTTTGCATATTACACATCCGATAAAGGGCTGATAACTAGAATCAATATAGAACTCAGGAAAATTAGCAAGAAAAAAATCAAACCACCCCATTAAAAAGTGGGCAAAGGACATGAACAGAAACTTTTCAAAAGAAGACAGACTGGCCACAAAGCATATGAAAAATTGCTCAACATCTCTAATCATCAGGGAAATGCAAATCAAAACCGCAATGAGATATCACTTAACTCCTGCTTGAATGGCTTTTATTAAGATGTCCCACCAAGCATGGTGGCGCGCCTGTATTCCTAGCACTCTGGGAGGCCGTGGCAGGCAGATCGCTCAAGGTCAGGAGTTCGAAACCAGCCTGAGCAAGAGCGAGACTCCGTCTCTACTAAAATTAGAAAGAAATTAATTGGTCAACTAAAAATATATAGAAAAAATTAGCCGGGCATGGTGGTGCATGCCTGTAGTCCCAGCTACTCGGAAGGCTGAGGCAGGAGGATCACTTGAGTCCAGGAGTTTGAGGTTGCTGTGAGCTAGGCTGATGCCATGGCACACTAACCCAGGCAACAGATTGAGACTCTGTCTCAAAAAAAAAAAAAGAAGAAGTCCCAAAACAACAAACGTTGGCATGGATGCAGAGAGACAGGAACACTCATACGCTGCTGGTGGGATTGCAGATTATTACAAGCTCTATGGATGGAAAGTAATACGGATATACCTCAAAGACCTAAAAGTAAAACTACTGTTTTTTCTAGCAATCCTGCTACTGGGTATTTATCCAAGGGATAAAAGACATTGTATAACAAAGACATCTGTACTCAAATGTTTATAGCAGTACAATTCAAAATTGCAAAAATGTAGAAACAACCCAATTGTCCATCAGTACATGAGTGGATTAATAAAATGTCATATATGTATACCATGAAGTATTATCCAGCCATAGAAAACAATGGTGAACTAGTAACTCGTGTATTATCCTAGATGGAGCTGTAGCCCATTCCTCAAAGTGAAGTATCACAAGAATGGAAAAAGAAACACCATGTGTACTAACCATTAAATTGGTACTAATTGATCAAAAGTTATGTGCACATATGGAAGTAACATTCATCAGGTGTCAGGCAGGTGGGAAGGGGAGGAGAGGATGAATAAATTGACACCTAATTGGTACAGTGCCCACTTTCTGGGAGATGGGCACACTTGTAGCTCTGACTCAGGTGGAACAAAGGCAGTATTTGTAACCAAAGTGTGTGTACCCCTGCAATATTCTGAAATAAAAAATATATTAAAAAATAAAATAAAATTTGGAAAATTCATTGAAGGTGAAAAAATAAAATGAAGAGTTTTTAAACATACATACACATGAAACAAGGTTATGTATTGATGAGTTGGCTAAAATGTTGTAACCAAATGATAACAGGTAGCTAATCCTGTATTTTCCCCAGCAACAGTGGTTCAGTATTCCCTAAATCAGTGTTCAAAGCTACTTTATAAAATATAACTTCTGTAAATAATGAGAATCAAGTATATTTTGATTGCAGAAGCACTTGGAAAGGATGAGTCTTATGGGAGATTTACCTGATGTTCAGTTTTAGTCTTACTATTTATATTATGTATACCTCTGTATGAGATAATTCTGTCCTAGGAACCTGTTATCTTTTGGAGGAAGCCAGTTTTTATCGCTCATTGATTTTATATAAGTCATTTATAATTTTGACTTGACAAGTCGCTATTTTGAAGTTACAAATAGTTTTAAGTCAAGGCCTTTTCTTGTGAAAACTAGATTGCTTCTGCTCAATTTTAATGCTATTTGACTGACAGCCTTATGAGCATGTAAGTTTTTATAACGCCCCCAAACTCTGATACTTTTTGAATATCTTATTTGACAGCCTTATCAGCCTGTAAATTTTTTATAAGACTCCCAAACTCTGATACTTTTTGAATATTTTATTTGAATTCCTAAATCAAAGCTTGGCAATTTATTTTCTGTAAATGGTCAGATAATAAATGTTTAAGGCTTTGCAGGACATGTAAGGTCTCTGGTCACATATTGTTCTTTGCTTTTTGTTTTTTTCCCCAAACTTTTAATATATTGAAAATAAAACATTTTTGGCACAGAGTCCAGGGCTTATTTAGCCCAGGCTTGTAGTTTGCTAATCCTTGTTCAAAATTTTTCAGTGTGTTATACCATCAGCTGCCCCACTTTAAGATAGTGATGCTTACTTCACTGGTATAACCTGGGCCTGAAGTGCCCCAAGTGTGCCAATCTCCTATGATTTCTTTTGATAAAAATGTTTGCCTTTTTTGTTTAGTGACAATAAATATGATGTATGTTTTTGATTGTTATTATGATTCTCACTACAGCCTGATTAACATCAAATACATGTGAGAAGAAAAATGGGAAGTAAGCACAACCACTTAAATCTTTATTTAGTAATCAGAAGGAATGAGAAACTAAAATTAATTGCCTGTTTATCAATTGCAAGCCATTTTTATATGATTCCTTAGTGTTCATGGAAATCATAAACAGGAAGGCATACCCATTTTTTCATATCCTATAACCTAAGATTAACCTAATTGAAGTATCACTGCCCACCAGAATTTTCTATGATGATGGAATTGTTTTATATTTGTATTTACATTGTGGTTGTTGAGCACTTGAACTGAAGCTAACATGACTAAATTATTTTAATTTTAATTTCAATTTAAATAACCACCTATGGCTAATGATTACCATATTGAGAGTATAATCCTAAGAGCTCAGGTAACGTGTTCAGAATTAGATAGTAAGTTCTGAGTAACTCTTAAGCTCATATTTTTTCCCATTATGCCACACTGCCTCATCAATAAAACTCAAGGTATCTGCGAAGATAGTAGGAAAAAATGGGTGGACCCTACTCTACTAAGTAGAAAATGTAAAGAAAGTATTGAGGCACTTTTTAAGGTATATTAATTTTGTAAGCCACTAGCACAGTTAGTAAATCCACACTCTGGAGCACTAGATCATAATTATCAAGCAATAGCTATGAATTTCATTTATAGTCTGCATGTTATTATTAATATTGCAATATGAAATAACATGACTATACTCTGAGAACATTAAGGTGTTGACAAATGTTCAGATATTAGTATACTTCAAAGTGTTTTTCTTATATGTAAAGAGTAATGTCTTAGGAAGAATTATTTTTTAAAAATAGCTTTTAAATGTAAAATTGACATCACATAACTTCAGAGCTTTTATATTAACAAAATGTATCACGTTTATAGGAGAGCATACTTGCTGGCATCAGTCTTAATATGTTTTTTATTGATACTTGATGTAGCCAAGGAGTAGAAATCTTATTTCATCAGTGAATACCAACTAGGTATGAAAAATCAAAAGTGATATATTTTGAGGAGGCATGCCTAGATAAATCAGTTTGTGATGCTGTTGCATCTACTAGAAGAAGATATGGGGGGTGAGTAAACAAAATTTCTCTTTTAGTGTTAAGTATTTTACCCTGTATTTCTGGAGCTTCACTCTGAATCAGAGTCATGCCTAGTTTAAACAGAAAATTGCTTAAGTAGTGCTTATATAGCTTCCCTTACTCTGCTCAGAAAATATTGAAAACTGTGTCGGAAATGAAGCACAGGCACTACCACTGTTATTGGAGAGCATTTAGAATCCTTTGTCCAATGTTTCTTTCAGGTCATGAACAATTTTATTTGTGTATAAACCAAGAAGACTTCTTCCCTGTGGATGCTCTTTGTCAATTTCAGCAAGCCTCCTTCCCATCTAAGGAATCAGACTCTTAAAATATTTATTCTTTGGAAAGCTTTTCATTTGACCTTTGAATGGATAATCTTTCAGAATTATTTTTATACCTGATTAACACTGGAACATTTTATTCCTACAGCTGGTAATTTTCCTGCTTTCTTAATTAAAATCCAGTTATATCCAAACTAGAGATCATTTTTTGCTTTAGATTAAGCATGAGACAGGTAAAAGGGAATTGGGAAAGTCAGGGGCAAAGGATTTGTAATGCAAGGAAATTATTTTTATGAATAATGTAAATGGATATTGTGTTTGAAGATATAACCTGTATTGCCCAGTTTTCCAGTCTACTCTTTATTTTTTACTTTTTCCGTAGCATTCATCAACTTGTAATATACCATATAGTGTATTTATTGTGTTTATTGCCTTTCTCATCTCCACTAGAATGTCAGTTCCATGACAGCAGGAATCTTTGTTTTGTTTACTGATATAGTCTAAGCACTGAGTCTGAGGTCTGGCACATAGTAGGTGTTCAATTAATGTTTGTGGACTTCATGAATACCAAGATCAATCCTAATTCATCCCTCAAATTTTAGTAATTATTACATTACTATAATATATTAATAATAATATTTCTGATAATTATTTTATTGCTATATTCCATGTGGAGTAGGTAGTTAACAAATAGGTAAAAATAATACTCTACCATACTAGATGGTAGTACTAGTCTTCTTAGTATGAGAAGAGAATCTTAGGAACTATAACTTAAAAATGTGTGAAGTAATTTGGAATGCTTGAGTATTTAATATATTTAAATAAAACCAATACTGTTCCTGAGATGCCTCTAAAATTTATCAAGAATTGGAAGAGGGGAAGCTTTTCATTTTAAAAGGTATTTTTGCTATATCTTTCTCAGATGGGAAAGCTGACAGCCATGCCTGCAGGTCTGATAAATGCATCTATAAGTGTACATGCTGCCAGAGAAGAGGAATACAAAAAGCAGCTAATGAAACCAGAGCAGGTAATTTGCCTACAAAAGTTTATGAACTTTGTATAATATAAAGATGATACAAAAACTATGGTTTTTTTTTTTTGTTACCCCTACTCATCAAAAATGCCTTTTAAGACTTTGTTAGGTACATTTTATGAGTTGAGAGAAATAGTTATAAGGTATCTCAAACCAAATACTATATTGTATCTAACATAAGCATCTAAAATTCTAATTGCGGTGAAAAATAATTGGTGATTTTTTTAATGAATAATTAATAAGTAGCACAGGGGCTTAGAAGTTCTAAGCAGTCTGATTTTTCTTTCTTGACAAATTTATACACATACATCCAGTATTAGGAAACCTTAGTTTAAGAGAATCATTAATATCTCAGTTTTGGAAGTGACTTTAGACGTTTTTTAGATCAGCCTCCCATATGGTATTGTAATCTCCTCTATAGTAGGCATACTCAATGGCCATTTATCTACATATAACTCCGTGTAAAGGAGCCTAAAGAGCTCATTCCATTTTCTGGAAGCCCTGATTCAATTTAAGGTCCTTCCGTAATGTCAATCACAAACCTGTCTCATAATAACTTCTACCCATTGGTAGAAGTATCTTTTGCATTGGTGCCATGCAGAAAAATTTCTCATCTCTTTCAAAAAAATAACCCTTCAGATTATTACAGTTACACTTTAAGTAATTTTGCTTCCTGGATAAGCATAGTAGCTGCTTTAACCATTTCTTATATGTCATAGCTTTGAGTCCCTCACTATCATGATCATTTTCGCCAAACATTCTCAGGATGGTTAGTGTTTTCTTCAGGTGTGTTTTGACTACTGCAGTTTAGAGTCAGACTGACTTCCCCTATTTCAGATGTTATATTTCTATTAATGCTGCCTGAGATCACATTAGTTTTTATATGTAGTTTTGTTTTGAGTACTCAAAATAGACCTGTGCTCATAATCAGACTTTGACCATGACAAAGTGAACTTGCAGTTCTCTAAAATTCATTAAGATATTTTACATGGGCTACTGGTAAGCTACATCTTCTTCCAGTTTGTATTTAGGCATATGGAGTTTTTGGACTCTTCTGGAGGTATATTTATACATGTTTAAATTTCATTTTGTTGATCTATCCTATTATGCCAGCTTGTTGAGCTGTAATTGTGGTTACTGGTTCTATTCACCATTTTGCTTTTTATCTCTCCCAGCCTCAAGTCACCCCTAAGATATATCTACACACTTAATAATGAGTTCCTGAATCAGTCAGGCCTGAATCTGAATCCTAATTCCATCATTGACTAGTTGGATGACACTGGATAGAATTCTTAGTGATGTCATAAGTATTCTGTTGTAAGACTGTAACACCATCAAATGTGAAATTTCCACACATTTTTTGAAATTTAGAATATTTACAATTATTTTGCTATTGTTGCCAATGTTTCTTGAACCACTTTGTACCTAAATCTTTATGTATACCTATAACTATTTCTTTAGGATGAGTTTCTAGAAGCAGAATTGTCAAAAGGCACACAAAAAATTGATACATTGTGAAACTAACAGGCAGAAAGGTGATATTCATACATTCAACAAAAAAATATTTCTTGAGCTCTTCTTGTATATGAGAGGCACTGTTCTAGGTACTGGATAAAGTTTTATTAATTTTCATAGTAATCTAGGGTAGATTCACTTTCCTTCACACTTGCTGATTCTGAATATTCTCTTTCTTTTTATTAATCTTAGAAAGATAGTGTTTTTAAGCTTTCCTTGACACTCCCATATTTGGATAGCTCAAAATCTGGGTTGGAAGATAAGTAACTAGCATTTGTCTCTACATATTTCTGAATTTTAAAATAAGTGCTCTTTATTATAGAATACACAGTATTTCTTGATATTTATTGCATTCCCCAGTACATCATAAATATAATTTAATTGAATTACTTATTAAAGTTCGTTGCTAACTATGTGCTGGAGCCTATTCACAAAGTCAGGATCTAATCTTTGAGGAGTGTAAAATTTCTGAAGGGATGAAAATGTAATTTATATGCAGCATTTCTAGATACTTTTATTTTGTAAAGTGAGCTCTACATCTGTTTAAATGTATTTATAATAAAGCCTCTACTAAACCAGAATACTTTATAAATGAGATATTATGGCTATTTGAATCTTTTGGTAAACTTGTATTTAACCATAAAATCCTATTTTAGTTCAACTCTTCTTGTTAAACATCTTTTTTTTTTAAAAAAAGTATCAATATACTCCTGCCTTATTTGGTGTCATCTAGCTAACATAATTAAACCTTCCTTTAATAGAAAACTCGGCAGGGCCATGGGATGATCATTATTTTTTAAGCCATGAAATTCGAAGTATTCAGATTTAAAAAATGACTGGCAATTGGGATGCATGTATACAGCCAGCCATAGACATCCCTGGATGTTTCTTTTTAAAATCCCTCTATGATGTGAGTTTGACTTATTTTCTTGTCATTTTCTTATTGTTACCAAGAAATAACAGAGAAAAAAATACTGATTTGAGAGCTCTAGTTAGTTCGGTTCAATTTAATTTTAAATGTGGTTTTATAGCTTACTGAATCTAATTATAATTTCTGAATACAAACAAGTTGTATTTATAAAAAAGTGCCATTTAAGCTCCGGACCTCCCATCCACAGTGAGAATGTTCTTCCCTCAGTGGATACTGTAGTAACATCCTACTGGCTGTTTCTTAAAATTCTCACAGTAGAGCTGAAATCCTTTTATTATAAACCTTTCAACTGTGCTTCTATGCCTATGCCAAAGAAGGAAAATACTTTAAAGCACTGTTTCTTTAACCATTCTGACCCCTTTGAGAGTCTGTTGAAAACTTTGAATACTCTTTCTAGAAAAGTGTATACACAAAATTTTGGTTACAATAGACCATGGAAAAAGAACCTGAGTCAGCAGGTTTCAGTGGGGATAATTCAATAGAATAAGAACAATGACTAATGAAGTTTGGAATTGGGGAGTGTAAAGAATAGAGAGGCTGGGAATATGATGGACAAACATCTAAAGTAAATAATTTTGCCCACTCTAACACCAGTACATCCATGTATGCATGTCTCCTTTCTTGGGGAGAGGGGAAACTTCCTTACCTGCAATGTACCTTTTATGTGTACAATGTACCTTAAATATAAAATATGCCTCTCTGACCTTCCTAATTCTACATAGTTGCCAGCTAGGTGAATTTAAATTCAAGCATTACTCCAGAAAAAGAAACACTAACTCTTTAATCCTGGTATGGGTAAAGGGTCATTTAATGGCAAAAAGAATTTTGGAACCTACTATTGGGAAAGTTTTACCGAACTGACGGTGTCTCATGTTTTGTTTTGTTTTGTTTTATTTTGTTTTGCTAGTTTTACTTTTAATTTTTTAAAAATTGATATAAAATTATATTTACTTTATACAACATGTTTTGAAGTATATATACATTATGGAATGACTAAATCTAGCTAATTAACATGTTCATTAGTACACATAGTTATCATTTTTGTGGTGAGAACACTTTACATCCACTGCCTTAACATTTTTCAGGAATATATTATTAACTACAGTCTCATGTTTGTTGTTGGTAGAAGATCAAATCCAAAGTCATTAGTCATCAAGTTCCCTTGCTGTTGATTTGTAAACTTCGTTATCATTCTCCCCAATTATGTCTTCACCAAACTTCATAGAAAGGTGTTACACCCTTAACATAAAAGAAAAAAAAAAGGTTTTTTTTTTTTAAAGGAAATAAGTCCTTACCTGGTTAAATTTTTTATAGTTATTTTATGTTTATATTTGTTTTTATTAAATATTAATTAGAATCAAATGGCTATTTATTCAATGTATGAATGGTATAAATAATAATATGATGATAATAATGATGAATAACGATGTAGTTACCATCCAATATAAAGGAAAAACAAAACAAAATCCTCTGTGTTCCTATCCCATTCCATTCACAGATAACCAGTTCCCTGAGTTTTTATTATTCCCCTCCTTTACCTCATAATTTTAGCTTATATCTTGTTAATGGAAAAAAAGCAAACTCTGTAAAATAATTTTAAAGAAATTTACTCTGAGCCAAATTTGAGGACCATGACCTGCAGCCATGCCCAAGAAGCTTTGAGCAAGTGGACTCGGTGTGGCTGGGTTACAGTTGGGTTTTATACAATTCAGGGAAACAGGGTTACAGGTAAAGTCATAAATCAATATGTGAAAGGCATACATTGGTTTGGCCCAAAAAGGTGAGCCATCTCCAAGTGGGGGGTGCTTACAGGTTATAGGTGGGTTTAAAGATTCTTTCACTTGTAATTGGTTAAAGACATGAAGCTTTGTCTAAAGGCTTGGAATGTTTTAAGATAAGGTCTATTAATCAGAGACAAGCCACTGGACATACATTTGCTGTATAAATTAAGGACTTGCCGGTTTGTCTTGCATACACTTAGGCCTGTTAATGGGTTACAAAGGATGTCTCCAAGAAGGGAAGGGGGCATGATGAGGCATGTCTGACATTTAGTTTTAGTATATTCCCTTGGCCAAGAGGGGGTCCATTCAGTCAGCCGGTGGGGGGCGGTGAGCCTTAAGATTTTATTTTAGTTCACAATGTCTGTATTGCTAATGCAATATCTTTATTGGTTTTTCATGGGTTTGAACTATGTATATTGATGGAAACATACCTTCATGCAATTTTCTGCATCTTCTTTGCTTAGCATTATATCTCTGAAATTCATCCAGATTTTTCCACGTACTTGTCATTTTTAAATTTTTACCTAATTTGTAATGTTCTATTGTATGGATATTCCCCAATTTAATTTTTTGTTTACTATTGATGGACATTGGTTTTGTTTTTTTTGAGATTTTTACAATTAAAGTATTGCTATAAATGTTATTGTACATAGCTCTAGGTGTGCAATAACAAGTTTCTCCAAATATACCTAGGAGTAGAACCACTGGGTCATACTACATGTGGTATTACTTAATTTCTGGTTTCTGAATAGTCTTTATAATCAGTTTACCACATCATCCCTGCATTTAAGATGACTTTAAAAAGTTTTATTGGAATTTTTAGTTATTTTTTAGGGAGGAAAGTTGATAAGGATATTCCTCTTCAGTCATACTGCTTAGAATAGGCAGTCCAGCTATTTTATGTTTGTGACATGAATGTTTTTTTGCCGGTAGCTCCCAATATATACTGCACCACCTCTCCAGTCTAAATATGTTGAAGAGCAGCCTGGTCATTTACAAATGGGCTTTGCTTCCATCCGTACTACAACTGGTCGTTATGTTGCCTGGTGCAAGGTAAGTAAATTCTGACCTGCTCTGTTTCTGACCTGGGTCTTCACCCCTAGTTAGGCAACCTGGTGGTCCCCCACTCCCTGGAGGTCATCATATTGGTGCTGAGCTCAGTGCAGACACCCCCATCGGCATAGTGTACTACAGCCCCAACTCCTGGGTTTGAGGAGCGATCCTGACGCCTCAGCTTTTTAAGTACCCAGGCCTACAGGTGCTTGCCACCAAGTCTGGCAATTCTGATCGTGGTTTAATATCAGGGGTTTCTCATTAATTGTTCCAGTTACCTATTGATGCGTAACAAACTACCCCAAAACTTGGTGGCTTAAAACAGCAACTGTTATATTATGTCTTATGATTTTGTGGGTCAGAAATTTGATGAGAATTTAGATAGGTCATTCTTCTGTTGCATGTAGTATTGACAGAGGTAACTGTGGTATTCATCTGGCAAAATGGCTGGTCTAAGAGAGTCCAAGACAGCTTCATTCACATCTCTGACACCTTGTCAAGGATGGCTGGAAAGCTGGGCTCAGCTGAGATTGTTGACTGGAGTACCTACATGTGGCTGTTCAAGTATGGTGGTCTCAAGTTACATAACTTACATGAGCAGTTTGGGGCTCCTAAAGGCAGTGTTACAAGAGGCCCTAGGTCGAATTTGCCAAGTTTCTCAGATGTTCAAAAATGTTACTTCTATAGCATTTTATTGTTAAGTCTCCAAGACCAGTTCAGTTTTAAAGGGCTGGAAATTAGACACGACCACTCAGTAGGAATACCAGCAAAGAATTTGTGGCCATATTTAACCTATGACACTAATGCATAGATTAAAGTAGCTCATCAGGCATTTGTGTCACCTAGCATATACAAAACGTTGTTCACTTTTTATGTGAAATTCTGAGGTTACTTCTTAATTGTTCCTTATTTGGCCAAGCAAAATGTTGTTCACTTATTTGAGTTAGTTTATAAGACCATTCTGATTACAGCCAGCTATTGGGCAAAGTAGAATTTATGTGGCTTTTAATACTTAGCCTTCTATCAGCAATATCCAGCAGCAGAGTGGTAGAGTAAGCTGATACAACACTAATGTTTCATTATCATCACATAAACCTAGTTGTGTTAGCATCAACATCTCTAATGTCAGTGTTTTCATCATTCTGATCTTATAACCACACAACTTTTCCCTAAAGATAGCCTATCCAATTGTGAATCTTTGTGCTTTTAAAGTTTCTAATCCATTCTTTTTAAAAAGAAAATTCTAATGGGCTTATGAAAAATATCGTTAGGTGAAATACCAAATTGATGAACTCTGGTGATTCCAGCTGATATTTCGAACATCTAATGAATGTATGATGTTATTTTTGAAAACTCATGCTTGTCATACAATTCTAATGGTACTAGTTGTACTATAGTGTCTTAATAGTTTGATCTCAGAGGGCAATATCTTAACTAATTATGGTCTGAATCATGCCCCTCAGGCTATTATGCCAATAGCTGGATGATTCAGACTTAAGTCTCCTGAGACTTAATTTTCCATAGTGTTCTCAAATTTTTCTTCAGAGAGGTAAATTGTTCCTGAGAGATCTTTTAATTGCTATTGTAACTTGTCCAATCGAAGACTAAAATAAAAATGTTTTATTCTGTTAATGTGCTAAAATGAATAGATTGAAGAAAGACACTTTAAAATGCATTTCATCTTCAGCATAAACAACTTTTCCTCTCTAATTTCCCCCTAAAAACGTAGTCTATTCTTTAAAAATTACATTTGACTCAAATTACATTCCACATTAAGCACTTCGGTGCTAGTGTCAACTATAGTCGATGGCCACAGATGAACGCGCACAGCTGAACGTCAACTTTATCGTTAATAACAAAACTTAACTTTTCTAATTTTTCATTTATCAAAATAAAATTGTGAACATTTAAAAATAGCATAATAAAAACATATATGTATATGTTACCTATTCTGATTTACATTACAAGTAAAGCTGCCTGTAAAGTAAAACAAGCTTTCAGTGCTTTAAAGCTTTCCTCATCACACAAGAGCAAAACGGATTCGTCATCAATGCACAGCACAAACTATCGTGTGGACTACGAGTGCTGGCTGTGGGCAAGGTTTCGCGCGGGTTAGAGCCATACCGCTCCTTAGTGTTTTGAACTTTAGGTAGCAGTGACCCCTAGCGGTAAAAATGAATTCTTAAACCCAACTAATGAAAATTTTCCAAAATAAGTGACAGTTTTCTTCCTTAATGGTTAAATGATTCCTAATAACTGGTCAATAGGTATTTTAACTTTGAAGGTGAAGTTTTCTTGAGACAATCTCTAAAGATAAGCATCTCAGTGGCAGTTAGAGTTTATGGTGGTTTGTATAGCTTTAAATCAGGATGAACCTCTGCGTCTCTGATCACCTTTGAAATATCTGAGACAAAATTACAAACCCAAAATATATCTATAGCAATAACTTATCTCTTCACTGTCTAATATAATAACTTCTATTTTCTCTGCTTTGAAAATCTCTTTTGTTCTTGCTTTATCCCATGATTTCACACCAACTGGTTCAGAGGGGACCATACGTTTGGATTGTGTTTTCTGATTCCTTCAATAGAATACAGCATAACAGAGTACAGTCATAAATTATTTCATGACTTCCTTTTTCTTCTGCTGTGAGATAATACCTATTACTCAATAAATATTTATAGCACTCTTTTTTGCAGTGCAATAAATTAGTTAGAAATAGCTAACAGGGAAGATTTGCATTGAAGCTTTAATCCCTTTAATGGGTTAATATAATCTTGATTTATAGAGAACTTATGTTCCTATTTAAGACTTATGGACATTAGTCTAAATGGGATGATTTATATTCTGAGATAAATGTTTAGATTTTTTTCTTGTTCTAATACGCACTAAGAAAAAGGCAGAAGATGAAGTCTTTTCTTAAGGCTTTATGTTCTTTTTCCCCCTCTACAAATGATTATGTTGTATCCTTACTGCTAAGATGTTGCTTCTAAGGTGAAATATATCTTCCTGCTTGCTTTATTTGACTTCCATTCATTTTTCTAAGCCATTATTAAATAAGATGATATATCTTTATATTTTTTAATATCTTTTCTGTGAGCCACTCTGATTATTTTATAGGCATTACTTTATCTATATGAAGAAAACAAGTACTATCCATATTAAATAGAATTAAAGGCAAGAAATGAAGACAAGCTAAGTTAAGGAAGTATCCTCACAGTCAATAAATAAGAAAGCTGTGTTTAGATTTAGGTATAATGCTAAGTCAACTTTTTAACATAGTCTCAGAAATGTAGGCTATTTTATTTGATTATCAATAGTTTTAAAAATGCAGATGTCTTCCTCCCTTTTTTGTTTAGGGTGTTTATGTCTTTGTGAAAAATGGGATAATGGATACAGTACAATTTGGAAAAGGTAGGTGAGTGAACCATGTATAATTAGAAATGTTCTATTGTGTTTTTAAGTTACAGTGTTTAAATGTGAGAAAAATAGATATGGTATGTTTTCTATTATACTTTTACCAATTCAGAAGATACTTTGTATAGCAGCTTATTGATAATAATAATAAAGCAATAGTATCTACCATTTATTTAGCAATTATTATATGCTAGGGCACTGTACTAAGCATTTTATATAAATTTATCTAATTTTTGTCACAATCCTGTGAGTGTTGGTATTATAATTATTCCCATTTAACAGATAAGGAAACAGGTTTAGAAAGGTTAAATAGGTCATGAAGGTCACATAGCTAGAAAGTGGCAGTATTAGGGTTCAAACTGAGGTCTGTTTGAACTACAAAGTCCACATAATATACTCATAAAGCACAAATTAAAAATGTCTCCATTGTTGCTAATTGGTTTAAATAGGTGCTATTTGCTGTTAAAATATTAAATATATAATATTTTGCTATCAGTTGCTAGGCAACATTATAGTAATCATTCACCCTGGAATATTTAAGCTAATAATGTTGGAGAGTAATTGTATTTGACTCTTTAGCTTGTTAATGGTGTTTAGTAGCAGATATAGCTTCATAATATTCTTGGCTTATGGCAGTTTTCAAAATAAATATGTGTGGGAGACAGAATGATTAGCTAAAAATTTAAATGTCTCCATAAAGTGGATGACCTGTAATGGAATTATCATTAATGTATTCGGAATTAATTCAAAATTATATCCCTTATCAATCCTGATAAATATGACTAAATATATGATTGCCATTAAATAATTTACTATGATAGAAGTGTATTTTTATAACTAGAAACAATTTAAATATATAGAAGAAAGCCAAGAAATCTGGACTTTTGCTTGTTCTTCATCTGCTTTTAATCTAGGTTCATTTCTCAACCTGATTATTGGTTTTAACCAAGAGCAGTGGCCGCTCTAAGTTTATTGGAGAATAATGGCAACCAAAGTCTAGTGGCTGCATATTATCCTTAAACTATTATTCAAAGCTCATTAATACAGTATCTTATTTCACTTTTTACTGGATGCTACCAGTATTTCAACAGATAGGGGCAGAAGCACATTAATTATAGGGATATAATATATACACAATCAGGAATTTGCCTTATAATAATCTATATTAAGGTGTGCCATTTAGCATCATATTTCATTAAAGAGTAATAATGACCTGTACCATTAAAAGATAAACATAATTAAATCAACTATGGAAGGCTTTATTTTTAACAAGTTAGTATAACTAGCTTATAATTATTTTTCCTTTTTAATTAAAATAATTTATATATTTGTACATAACTGAAAGCAATGTTACAGTACATAAGTTATTTACAACCGTTCAGTAATGTGTTAACAAAATAAATTATCTAGAAGGCAGCGAAAGTACATTGTGAATGTATATAAAACTTTACAGTGTTTATAGGTATGCTTTTTATATGATTATTGGCCTTGTATGTAACCAGCTTTTCCGGTTGCTGATCATATCATTTTGTATAGTTCTTTTGAAGGCTGTTTAAACCATCCACTATTAACTTAACAAATCTCTTTAAACTTTCTGCATTATAAATACATACAATGTCCAATAGTAGCTAGTCATTTATATTAATTTTCAACTAATTTCTTGAGATGCATATGTCTATCTGAAGAATCCACCTCGAGATTTTCTTCCGAAAATGGGAGTGATTACAGTGTCAGGATTGGTGGGCTTGGTTTCATCAAGAAAGGGTAAGGTTTTAAAATATATATATTTTTTCTTTTAGTGCCATCATATTAGTTTCTGAATTTTACTGTTATGAGAAAACCTTATATGCTTTATTGAATATTATCAGTATAGGCTACTGTAAATTTTTTAGATTCTATACTACAGCATGTTTACTTTTATAAAGACTTGGTGTTTTCAAAACTATAGCTATTCCAAAATCTGTTCAGCATCATTAGTCATTAGGGAAATACAGATTAAAATCCCAATAGGATAAGGATACGATGACATAGGTATTACAGTGTCTGAAATTAAAAAGACTGACCATATCAACTGTAGTCAAGAATGGAAAGCAACTGAAATTTTCATAAAATAGAGGAGAATAGCAAATATCAGAGTGCTTTATACTTAGTATGGGTAAATATCATGAAACTTATGTTTCAGCAAAGAGTCTGTGTGTGATAGATAATAGATCATAATGTAAAATTTGTTCTTTATTATGAGTGATGGTCAAAAAAGTTTGAAAGCTGTTAGTTTAGCCTGTTATGCTAAAGACAAAAATCCAGAGAAAGGAAATCACTCAATGGTTCATAGTACATAGTACACAGCTATTAATAGTGGCTATGTCTAGAGTCCTTCTCTAATTATGGAAATAGGGCTGTTGAATCTAAATGAAATTTATTTTCTTGCAGAGTAACTTCTCATATTGGTTAAAGAGAGGATGAATGTTTAAGTCTTTTTAATCTTTAAAATGATGCATAAGGAAAACCACCACCTACCAATTTAAGGATTAGCACTTAAGGGAATTTCATTGAGTCAAGGGAGCCTATATCAAGAGATATTAGAACTGTAAAGTCAAGAACTAAACTATAAATACTGGAACAATAGTGAGTAGGACTAGAGTAAAGGAGCGACTTAGGCCATGCTATAATATACCTAGCCCCTCTTTCTCTGTATCACATACACAAAAAGCAGTCTAAATCTAAACTAGAGGTTGAAGCAGCCTGCCTACCCCCTAGCCCAAAGCTCAATCTATTATAGACATGACTGTCGAAGTCTTCCTTAATAATAGTTAAACCAGACAGAGAAACATCTCTTGTTTTCACGTTCCCTAAATTACAAAGTTGCCTGCAAACATTGCCAGGTATTTTTCACCTTAGTCTTTATTGATATACCACATAGGCTTTTTAAATTAGGGGTTTTAAAAGCAATTACAGATAATAAAAGTACTTACCTCAATTTAAAACTCATCATCCAGTTGCCCAGTTCATATTTACAGAGTCCAAGATACTTCTAAACAAGCATTTAAAATACATATAGGATACATATTATTGTGAACCAACAGTTTGCTAGAACTAAGCTATGGCTTAGAGTGATGTATTTCAAACTATTCTGCAGAACCTAGGATTTGGGCATAATGGAAAAGCCACACAGGCAGGGCTTAATACTGTGCCTCCCACTCCCAGGTTAATCAGAGCAGCTTCAAGTTTATAGGCTTTATATATTGAAGTTCCCAGTGAGATGCTATTTGGAAGATATTTTTGGAGGGAATTTGCTGTCAAAAAGTGTATGAAAATGACTGTTAAATCCTTAGTTAAGACACATTTGGAAATGCTTATGTCAAGTTATTTGCAATTATTACTACTTCAGTATTCTAAATCTGTAAAATGAAGTAGTTATATACCTTTTAAACTCCTTAGCTGAGTAGTTGAGTCATTCTTCTTTCCTAAGTACTTAATCATAAAGGGACATATAAAAGAGAATCCATTTTACTTTAACATGGCATCACGGACACAGTAGTTGGTTAATTCTCTATATTATCATGCTTAATTAGATACTTGAAAAACTGTGGTTACTTGGGTTTCCTAGGACTGGAAAAATACCTTGTTTAAAAAAGAAGAAAATCATCAGTTCCTTTTCTGTAGGTAATCAGTATTAGATTGAGAATACTTTTCTTAAATTGGACATGACAGCCAAGGGGTATTAACTGAATCGAGAATTCTTAAGGGCATTTTGGCTTCCATCTTGATTGGTATTGGTACCTAAAGACTAATTTAACAGAGTGTGATGACTTTTTAAAGGGAAGCAAAGAGAGCATTGTGGTATAAGACCATCATGTCTCTGGTGACATCTATTTGGAGTTTAATAATTTGTTTGAATTTTATAGGTTCAAGGTTTAAGAAAATTACTTACCCTCTGGGATTGGCTGCTTTAGGAGCAACTGTTTGCTACCCAGTTCAGTCAGTAATAATTGCTAAGGTAAGTTCTTTCCAAGTGATAGCAACATTTCAGTATTTGCTTAAACTCTGTGTGACAGTATTTAAATGTCACACAGTGCCTGCAACATTTAATTTTCACAGACATATAGTTGGTATCAACTCTTTTGTTGGCAATATGACATTAGCATCTCAGTATGGTAAATGCCATTTTTAATTACATGATCACCACAAATAAATAGGATGAGTTTGTTTAAATATAATTCTACAATATAAGTACAGGTTTGAGGATTAAGTTCAGAGACAGTGAATTAGAATTTATGGGGAGAAATACTGCTCCATTGTTAAGCTATATAAAATTCAATTTTTAATTAGCAGAAGATTATACCTACTGGGAGCTGTTTAGCAGATTAACATAATATAAGAAACAACCAATTGATAGATTACAGAAGCTTCTGAAGGTAAAAAAATATACTCCTATGCAAATTCAATTTTGAAACCATCTAGAACTAAGAAACACCTTCCGTAAATGCTTATTATAGTTGTTTTGTCACTTTCTTACAAGCTTACCTACAAAACCAAAGATTCTCTTAATGATTTAAACAGTTTTTGTCAGTATTTTATTTTATTTTTAATACATGTACAGATTGAGGAGAAGATCTTTGGGATATACATTTTTCGCCTTGCTTTCTCCCCTTAATTACCAACAGCTAACATTTACCCCTCACACTTGAAACAGTATACAGTGTTACCAAAAGGTCTTTCTGTATTTGTATTCTCATTGCTGCATGTCTTTAATTACCAATGTAGATAAAATTGCTTATTCAGTATTTTGAGAATGTCAGGATATAACATATGATGTAATTTGTGATGTGTTCAAACTATAAAAACTTATAACAAAGGAACAGAATATGATGCATTAAATCTAGTTACATGTGAGATGATTGATAACATGATAAAGATATTTTAAAAACTCTTGTCTAAGAATGTACATAGGAATTAGTCACTTAAATTGATAAAATATTAATGCTGAAAGAAAACTTCGAGCTAATTTAATTCAACTTTCATATTTTCCCATTTACTAATGAAGACACTGTGGCCCAAAGAAGTTTCACAGTGACTGACTTGCCCAGGATCACACTCGACTTAATGTTTCTTGTTTCCCTGTCCATTACTCTTCCCAGTGGATGATGCTGCCGCTGATTCTACTTTTTTCATTTAGATTAATGATTTACTGTTTTTTTAAATGATACCTACTCATCTTTAAATAATTAAGCATTACAGAAAAGTTTAAGAAAAAAAAAAAACTAACCACCAAATGCTTCCATTTATAAAAATATCAGTATCAACATTTGATAGAATGTTCTTCTAGACATCTTCCCATGTATACAAAGAGATAGCAAAATGGATGGGTGAATAGGCAGATAAGAATGAGATCATGGTATGTATCTTATTTTTAAAAATGAAGTATTAAGTTTAATTTTACTTTAACAAACAGAAAAGCAAAAGAACTTCTGAACTTCAAATAAAAATTTCTATACTATAAGAGATACTAATATTCCTGAAAGTTCTTTTAGGGTGAATAATGATTGTTACTTAAATTCTTAGAGTTAAAATTCTTGTCATATGTGATATTTGGCAGATTGGAATATATACATACAGGGAAAATAGTTTCTTAGCCTGAAATACATGATGAAATTCAGAGTCTGTGACACTCCCCCAATCAAAAACTGTATGAAAGGCTTTAATACATTTTGTTTTGATTTTTGTGTATAGCGAGAGATAAGGGTCTAGTTTCATTCTTCTGCACATGGATATCAAGTTTTCCTAGCCCCATTTATCAAAGAGACTATCCTTTCCCCACCATATGTTCTTGGCACCTTTGTCAAATATAAGTTCACTATAACTTTTGTTAGAGAGTTACGAATACAGTTCATTTTTTGAGGTTTCCAGGGGAACCTTACCTAATTCTGTCTACAAGAATAGATGCTCACACAATTTTCCCAAGATAAGCATGTTAAGCTCTGAGTTAGACACAGACCTAGCTGAGCATACAAATTAAAGATAAAATGAGAACACTAAGTCTATGTACTACTCTAATCTACTTCTTCTAAACACAGATACATGTAGTCAGGAGTCAAGCAGGAATATCCTTAAAGTCTAGGATAGTTACAGCTGCATGTCATCTGCTGAGAATTTTAATCAGATTCTTCGCCAAGAGCCCAAACTGAGCTTCTGCTTTGCAAAAAAGCTCAAGACAATGACCGTCAGCAAGAGAAGAAATGCTGCTTTGCAAACATCCTATGACAATGTCCCCCCTTGGTAGAAGCAGCTTATATTTTGTGAACTAACATGTCCACAGATTCCTTCAAAGCAAAGACCTGCAAAACCCCTGAAACTTCTCATGTCTATTAGCCTATTTCCCAACAACTGATTCTTCCAATCGATGAGGATGGAGCATCCTTTCATCTTATTGGGTGTCGTCTTCAATTTCTTTCATTAATGTTCTATACTTTTCATGGTAGAGATCTTTCACTTCTTTGGTTAGGTTTATTCCTAGGTATTTTATTTGAAGCTGCTGTAAATGGGATTACTTTCTGTTTTTCTTTTTCAGATGGTTTGCTGTTGGCATATAGAAATGCTAGTGAATTTTTGTATCCTACAAATTTACTGAATTTGTTTATTAGTCCTAATAGTTTTTATTTTCTTTTTTTGATCTGTGGAGTCTTCAGGTTTCTCTGGATATAAGATTGTATCATCTGCAAACAAGGATTATTTGACTTCTTCCTTTCCAATTTGGAGGCCCTTTATCTTTGTATTGTCTGATTGCTCTAGCTACAACTAACAATATGTTGAATAACAGTGGTGATTTAAAAATGGGCATTTCCCTGATGATTAGAAATGTTGAGCATTTTTTCATATGTTTGTTGGCCATTATTCTGTCTTCTTTTGAAAAATTTCTGTTCATGTCCTTTGCCCATTTTTCGATATGTTTGATTTTTCCTTGCTGATTTTCCTGAGTTCTAAATAAATTGTAGTTATCAGCCCTTTATCGGATGTGTAGCTTGCAAACATTTTCTCCCATTCTGTGGGTTGTCTGTTTGCTCTTTTAACGGTTTCTTTGGCTGTGCAGAAGCTTTTTAATTTGATCATGTCCCATTTATTAATTTTTGTTGCTGCTGTGATTGCCTTTGGGGTCTTCTTCATATAGTCTTTGCTTAGGCCAATGTCTAGAAGAGTATTTCCAATGTTTTCCTCTAGAATTCTAATAGTTTCACACCTAATGTTCAAGTCTGTTACCCAGCATGAGTTGATTTTTGTGAGAGGTGAAAGGTGTGGGTCCTATTTCAGTCTTCTGCATGTGGCTATCCAGTTTTCCCAACACCATTTATTGAATGAGGATTCTTTTCCCCACTGTATGTTTTTGTCTGCTTTGTCGAAGATTAGTTGGCTATTTGAGGATGGTTTTATATCTGTATTCCCTGTTCTGTTCCACTGTTTAATGTCCCTGTTCTTGTGCCAGTACTAAGCTGTTTTAATTACTACAGCCTTGTAGTATAGTTTGAAGTCTGGTAAATTGATACCTCCTATTTTATCTCTAATCATCAGGGAAATGCAAATCAAAACTGCAATGAAATATCACCTATCTCCAGTAAGAATGGTCTTTATCAAAAAGTCCCCAAACAATAAATGTTGGCGTGGATGCGGAGAGATAGAAACACTCCACTGCTGGTGGGACTGCAAACTAGTTCAACCTCTGTGGAAAGCAATATGGAGATACCTCAAAGCGATACAAGTAGATCTACCATTTGATCCAGTAATTCCAATACTGGACATCTACCCAAAAAATCAGAAGTCGGTTTATGAAAAAGACACCTGTACTCGAATGTTTATAGCAGCACAAATTCACAATTTCAAAGTTGTGGAAACAATCCAAGTGCCCATCAATTCATGAGTGGATTAATAAAATATGGTATATGTATACCATGGAGTATTATTCAGCTTTAAGAAATAATGGTGATATAGCACCTCTTGTATTTTCCTGGATAGAGCTGGAACCCATTCTACTAAGTGAAGTATCTCAAGAATGGAAAAACAAGCACCACATGTACTCACCAGCAAATTGGTATTAATGGATCAACACCTAAATGGACCTATAGGAATAACATTTATCGAGTGTCGGGCAGGTGGGGGGGGAGGGAATGGGTATATACAAACATAATGAGTGAGATGTGCAATGTTTGGGGGATGGTCACGCTTAAAGCTCTGACTCGAGGGTGGCGGGGGGCATGGGCAATATACGTAACCTTAACATTTGTATCCCCATTATATGCTATATTTTAAAAAAATGAGAAAGAAATGGGCAAAGGATCTGAATAGACATTTTTTGAAAGAAGACAAAAAATGACCAACAGGTATATGAAAAAAAAATGCTCAAATCAGATCATATGAGAAATGTAAATCAAAATTACAGTAACATATCATCTCACTCTAGTTAAAATGGCTTTTATCAAAAAGACAGGTAATAACAAATGCCAGGAAGGATGTGGAGAAAGGGACACTGTTTTACACTGTTGGTCGGAATGTAAATAAGTGCACTCCATAAGTGTTCACTATGGAGAACAGTATGGAGTTTCCTCCAAAAACTAAAAATAGAACTATCATATGACCTAGAAATCCCACTGCTTGGTATATATCCAAAAGAAAGGAAATCAGTATATTGAAATGATGTCTGTACTCCCATGTTTATTGTAGCACTATTCACAATAGCCAAGATGTGGAAACAACCAGTGTCCATCAGTAGATGAATGGATACAGAAGATGTACATATACACGAGGGAATACTATTCTGTCATAAAAATGAATGAAATCCTGCCGTTTGCAATAACATGGATGGAACAGGAGAACGTTATGTTAAGTGAAATAAGCCAAGCACAGAAAGACAAATCTCTCATGTTCTCACTCAGATGTAGGAGCTAAATATTAAAATTAACCATTATTGTATCATCTTTTGAAAAGTTTCTGTTCATGTCCTTTGCCCAC